TCTTTCACATTGCAACCAGCCTAGCTCAGACACCATCAACTCTTGCACAGGTGACTACAGCAGCCTCTTCCCGAGTCTCTTGGTTCTCAGCCTTGTTTCTTATAGACCATGAACCACACAACAGCCAAGGTAAATCCAGTCCCTTTAGCTGGCCTATAGGACCCTACATGGTGTAGCCTCTGATCACCACTTTTATCTCATCTCCCACCATTAGCCTCCTCACTCACTCTGCACTGGACACACTGGACAAACTTGCTGGTTGCTTTGCTTGGAATATTCTTGCTCGGAGCTTCTCCCTTCTCATCATTCCCATCTCAGCGTAAAAATAACTTTTTCATACAACCAGGTAAAGTGGTTAGACTTGGCAAAGTAGTCGCCCACTTCTTGCTATGCTAGTTACCTAGTCACTGTCACTACTATTCTCATTTTCTTCATAGCAAATGTCATTCTTACTTCTTTCTTTTCATATTGTGCCCCTCCTGCATGCTTTGCTAGAGTTAACAAGGCTGTGGAAGTTGGTGGTGGAGGGTGAAGGTAGGACAAAGCTGAGTAGGGCAAGGGGTGCAGCTGCGGACAACATGTGAGACGTCAGGTAACAATTATTGCTAGTTACCAGGAAAACCACAAGTGCTTCTGTCATAATAAGTATAGAGAGGGGGTAATAATGAGAACTGAGTCTTCCAGTCATAAATACAAGAGAAAGAGCTAAAGAAGCAGAACATTCCATTCATTGGTTCAACAAATATTTACTGAACCAACGAATGAACTAGTGGTCAGTGAACTCTTAGAAACTAGTACGCTAGAAGAGTCCTTATAGCTATAACCCTTGGGAAAAAACGTTCCTCTCAAAGCTACGTCTTCAATTCCTGTGACTGATATAATCCTTTCAATTCAACTGATTGTGCTAAGGTGTGGTCAGACATGATAAATTACTTTCACAGCAGAATATCCAGTCTCTTCTTTTGATAGGTTTCTTCTCAGGGTTACCAGAGCCATTCTATTTTGCCAATGAGCATCGATTTGGATTTCAATTCAACTTGCAGTTTGTTTCTGAGTTCCAGTGTGGACTGGAGGGCTCCTTTGTCTACCATCTGTGCTTTTGAATGATGTAATGAGGCAACTTGTCTATCTGTTAGCCACTGAACAACCTTAGTGGTGATGTGCACAGACATTACACAATGTTTCCACTTGCAGTCAAAAACAACACCATCGAAGAATCAGAAGTATATTTGCTTTTATATTAATAAAAGTAGTACTCCATAGAGAGGAAGTGGAAATGATTTTATTTCACCAGCATCTTCTGCCCCGCCCTCACTTCCCTTTACATCTGCTTGGCCCCATAACTTCTCTGATCATTTTCAGAGAGTAAAAAAGTCCATCAGTTATTTTCAACCTCTGAATAATCTCATGTTATAATTAATAGGTCTAGTCCAATGAAAAGCACAAAACTCCAAACTTGATCTAAAAGTAGAGCTTCTCCCCATCTCCAACTTGGGCCTTGGGAGTGGGGGCGGTCATTTAGTTTGGCTTCTTGTTCTCTTTCTCTGCCAGCTCTTCCCCTCACCCCTTTTGCTAGCTGAGGCTTCTGATCCTTTTAGAGCTGGTGGTTAAAGAGATAGAGGGGTGGTCAGTAAAAGGCAGAAAGTGTGGTTTTGTGGGATTCTTGTGATCTGGCATTGGTGCTCCCTGGGCTTGGGTGGATGTTCAATGCTGAATCCTTTAGAGGGTTCCCCATTGAGAACACGCATTCATCTCTCTCATGTCATGAGAGATGTGCGTCCACTGCTCAGCCCTTACCAGTCCTCCGTCAGTTGTTGAGTATCCTGCAGTCCCTCCCACCTCTTTTGGTGTCATGTTGCCCCTCTAGACAGTTCTTTTGGCAGGATTTTAAAAAGCTGTAAACTGGACCTCTCCTGTATCATCTATATTCGGTTCAGAAGGAACCTGCGGGTCTCTATTTGTCATCTTTGCACCTGCTGTTGTGGGAGGTATCATGATCTCTCAGCGTGACATGGGCTCTGTCTCTGCTATGCAGCCTCAGGTCAATAATCACAGAGTCATGCCCTTAGATTCTGAGGCAAGTGTCACCCAGCAGTCCCCTTCTCACAAATAAACACACACAGGCACACACACACAATCCCCAGGGGACATAAGCCAAGCTCTCTGGATGACCCTCTTGCAGGCAGCCCCTATCATTTGTCTTGAAATTAGGGGCAGTGCCCTCCTCTCCTCTTTCGTGGAGGCAGGGTGAATAAGTGACAGAGCATACCAGAAAGATTCTCTAAATAAATTCTCTCTTAACTTCTTCATCTCAGTCAGTTTGTGCCCTTAAAGTGGGCTCAACAGCCTCCCCCTCCTCAAGTCCTGGATGGTGGTCTCTCATCACTTTGGAATGGAGGTAACACATTATTTTCTTCTCAAAATAGCATAGGTTCAGTCAAATTAGAGTCAGAAGAGTCCTATTTTAACATCCAGTTACACTTATACATATGTTACCACACACACGTGCACACAATTTCTGAAAGTATCAGTCAGGATGAAACAGTCCTACACTCTGCATATTGTAACCACGGTTTTTGTGACAGCTTTTTGTTGTTGCTGTTTTAAATGTATTTTTAAATCACAGTAACAATTCACAAGCACATTATTGCTGTAACACATTTAAACACAAAAGATAAAATTAAATTCCCATGTGGACATTCCTCTCCGAGGGACTGGCCCTCTCCATTCTCTTCTACAGATATGGCCAGTGTTATAAGATTAATGCATCTTAATTTTAAAACCAGAGCTCAGGACAATGTAGATGAGACCTGTCACTATTTCAGTGCTACAATTTTTCTTTTCAAAATTTTCTGTTCACTTATAAACATATAAATTACATAGTGTAATATTATGTGTACATATGTTTTACCCGTTTTATTATCTTTTACTTATTATTCTACAACTTGCTTTTTTTTTACCTAATATGTCTTTTAAATCTTTATGTGCTTTTATGTATAGATCCAATTAATTCTTTTTGGTGGCTGTATAGTATTCCAAAAATTACATGTACTTTATTTAACTATTGAAATATTAATGATCATTAGTGTCACAAAACATATTCTTTTGTGTGGCTGTGCATATTATTCTTTGGCAGACACCATGAAGCAGTAATACCAAATGGAAGGATGCAGTTTGACTCCCACAAATAACAGCTTATTTCCTTACACTTCTGCCTAAACTTGGTGATGAAAGTCTTTTAAATATTTATGAAAGATAATGGGTAAGAAATAATAAGATCTTGTTCTTTTAACTTCCATGTCCTTGATAGTAAGGCAGAATGCATTTTCCCATGTTTGCTCTTCATTTGTATTTATATACTGTTCTAATAGTTACCTACTCTTTATCCGATTTCTTATATTTTGTCTTTTTTTATTACCTTGAAGTTTAAAAAACACTACTCCCTTATCTGATATCATACTGTAATTAATTTCATACTGTAATTAATTTTGTGCTTTTTGTATCTGTGGTATCCTTATAATATGTCTAAGTGTAGATTTAATTTCGTTTCTCTGGCTTGAGACTCACTGTGATTGCTGAATTTGAGAAATCTTGTGTTTCATCTCTTCTGGGAAAGTCCTATTCATTATTTCTTAAGGTATTGCCTCTCTTCAATTCTCTTTAGTTTCTCCTCCTAAAAGTCTTATTCAACATATGTTGGATCTTTCACTCCATTTTCCGGGTCTCTTAACTTTGCTATCATACCTCATTATCCCAGGGAGCTTTATTCTGTATAATTTACTTGGTTCTACCTTCTATTTCACTAATTCATTAGCTATATCTAGTCGCTTAGTTTCCAATTTCAATGCCTAAATTTGTCTTTTGTATTTCAAGTAGTATCTTTCTTAAATCTGCCTGTTCTTTTTAGTATCTTCTTATGTTTTAGAGTCTATCTTTTATTTCCTCAATTATTTTAAGCATGCCTATATAATGTATTTATCAGTTTATTCTATTTTTGGAAGTTCTCAGCACTTTAATTCTGCTGTGTGTTGAGGCTGAGGACTTGTTCTTGATGACCACTTGTTTAAGTGGTTATAATTTTGATTCTTGAAGTCATATTAAGTGGAGCTTCATCTTCAGTAATTCTGTGTGATGATCTCTGTTGAACAAATCAGCCTGTGCCCGATTCTTAATTCAGTTTTTCAGCTGAAGAAGAGTTCTCCGACAATGAAGACAGTGTGGATTCTAACCCCCAACTCCCCATAACATAGTTATGCATTTTTGGAATTTTTGGGAGAGGCTTTTTATTTTCAAACCAGAGCTCAGGACAATGTAGATGAGAGTTGTCAGCGTCTCACTGTTACAAGGGGAAGAGCCTCTTTAACTCAGTTTTGAACCCCTTTGAGGCTTCTGGCTCTAAATGAGGGTCTCCACTATAATCGCCTTCCTGGCATGTGCCCGAGGCTTCATCATTCACCCCCACAGGGGCCCGGATCTCAAACACCTGCATCACTGAAATTGATGCCTACCCCACACTCCAGTCCCAGGGTCACTGAAGAGTTAGATCAATCCTCTAACTTTTCATTACATGCGTGGGGGTATCTTTTACTATGTAGGTAACTTTATTGGAATCTTCCAGATGAAATTTGAAATAGATTGTCAAGTTTTAACATCCAGTTGATGCTGATATCGGTTGAGAGACATGGGAACATAAAGCTGGAAAGAATATTACAATCCATTAAGGCAATCCAGGCCAGATCCCTCACTTTAGAGAAGCAGAGACTAAGACCCAGGTTAACTGTGACCTTCCCAAGTCCACACAATTGGCTAGTGGTAGAGCCTGGACGACAAACCAGATGTCCTGAACTCTAACCTAGCACTTTTCCCACCAAATATTTCCTCCTAATTCTTAGAGAGAAGAATTGAGGCAGTGTCACATATGATATAGGACATTTTTCTCTCTGTATTTTTCTATTCTGTTTTTTGCATTCTTTTATTTCAGTTGGTAAATGCCAGTCCCTGGAAGAAGAGAACCAAAATGTGTGCTAGAGCAGAAGTCAAGGCCACAGTGGGAGATATTTCCAATGATGGTAATTTAAACATGGCCCAAGTGCAAACCTCCAGGAAAGGTAAAATCACGTACTGGTTGTGGATACACCCTGGATCTATGTCACCTTGACTTCCCTTTTGGTGATGTACAGCATCTTCTTGCTACCACCAATTGCCAAGAATTCTATATAACTATAAAGCATTTTTACTAAGAATTATTTCATTTCTTGCAAGAAACTTTGAAGGTATATAGGATAGGTAGGTATCAGGACATTATTTATAGATGAAGGGAAAAATTCAGAGCAGATGCTAAGTAGAAAATGTGGAAACTAATATTTGCTTTTCTAAGTCCAGAGAGCATCCCATTAGCTCTGCATGTGTTAGATCTAGACCTGCCTCAAAGAGAACGGGCTTTTCCTTTACAATATATCATAGAAGCCACTTTTCCTTCTCCCTCTCATCTATATTACAACTTGGTGCTTTTCTATAATATGTCCTAAAGAAAACTGTTGAACACCTTATTTTATTGTCAACTCTTAATGACTCTTAACTATGTGATTCATTAATTCTCTTAAGGACATAGGCTTTTCATAAGATAATGCCTTTAAAAAGTAAAACACTAACCAAGATGGAATGCTTTGCAATGCTTAACATTTTAGCCAGAATGTCTGCTGGGAAGTGAGCATGTCTTAAGGAAAAGAGGGTTCTAGTAACCTTATCCATCAAAGAAGAAATCAGAAGATGCTCATTCTAATACTCATTCTACAGTTGACTACCAGTTAACCTGGAATGAATGTTATTCCGTTGCCTCAGCTTCCTCATCTGTAAAATGGAAGAGTTTGACTTACTTATATTTCTAAGATCTCATCCATTTCTAAATATTTAGGAGTCTATTGGCACATGCTATATTGTGCCATAGTTTGACTTTCTTTGTTTTTGATGACCTTGACAATTTAGGCAAGTTACTTAAACTTTCTGTGTCTTAGTTTCCTTATTGTAAAAATGGGATGATAATAACAGTACCTACTTCATAGGATTTCCATGAGGATTAAATTAGTTATAATACGTAAACCATTTAGAACATAGTAAACATTACGTAAACTTCAGCTATCATTATTATCTCTCACACAGTGTCCCCTCCTCAGCCCACTTTTTGACAGTCATTGGAATGCTCTGTGATAATTTGTCTAAAGGGGGACTCATATGTGGTCTTTACAGTTTCTTCCACTGCCTTCTAGGGCATCCACCCCACTATGCTGCTCATTCCTCTGGTGACCGCTCTAGGAGCTACAGCAGTATCAGGCAATATCTTGGTAACCCACTTGACCCCAGCTTGTCACATCATGCTTACAATATTAATCCTTTTTTGGCTCGTATCCCATCTGACAAGGCAGAACCCTAACTATGCCTCAAAGTCCCACCTGGTTATTTTGGTGCATCTTCTAGTATTTCTCACAGGTGCTTATGAATGAAGCCTGTTGGCTGCTTCATCAGCCATAGTGTCCAACATTAACTTTCCTCTCATTTTGCTCTCTCTGGCCCACACTCACTGGGCACTGCTGGGGCTTTCTCTAGGTGGCAGTGCCCCCAAAGGCTACTGACATCTTTGCTGGGCATGGCTGTGCTTCTAAGATGCCCACAGAACGAAATTCAATTATTCCATGGGACATTGGGAAATGCCCCCTCCCCCATTATATGTCACATTTGGTCACCTGGCCACATAGTAGAGTTGCTTATGCTCCTGTATCTCTAGAAACTCTGGGTGAAAAAAGCTGGACCTCCAGATTCTGCCAGAAGGTAAGTGGTCTCTCTCTAACAGGTTCAGTTAAGGGTTCTTGGGGCCAGGAGGGGAACAGACATCAAATTGACCTTCCTATTCTCGTTTCTCCCAGAGACTGTGAGCTTCTATTGGGTTCAATCAGAAAAACAAAAGCCACTCTAGGTATTTCAAGAAGAAAGAGGTTTAATACAGGAGATTGGAAGATTCCACAGACTTTGGAAGGCTAGGGTAGCAAAAGTGAGGTTAGCTACTTTCAGGAAATCCAGTAGTGCAGGATGGATGAGACACTGCTAATGATCATGTGCAACACAGAGTGGGCAATTTTCAGGAGAACACCCAAAGGTCACAAGCAAAAATCCCATGTCTACCATCACTGATCGTTATACCCCTGCCTGCAGCTGCCTCTGCAGCATAATGGTTTCTCGTGGTGTTCAGCCTTCCGAATCTTGCCAGAATGCCGTCATTGATAGGATCTGTATTGGAATCCCACTTGCATGGTAGATTGAGGATTGTAGTTTCCACATATTTGCCCCTCTGTTACTGTGGAGAACTTAGAAGGGGAGGGATGGCAGTGAGAATTAATAACCCACATCAGGCACAGCTTTCTTTCTATCAAAACCTCACATGGAGTAAATATACCCCAGTCTATGGAAAGAATGCTACCTAAAGGCCATTCTACAACAATATCCCTTTCTGAAAGCCACAGAAATAAATAAAACAAGCATAAGACTTTGAGAAAGTATCTCCATCTAGGTTGACACTAGGGATTTATTCTTACCACAAACTACAAACTCTAAGGTTCACTGATAGATTTAATACAATTTGGATGAAATTGAGTGAGGATGCCAGGAGCTGACAAAACTCCCATCCTTGGAGCACGGTGCAGTGTTACAGGAAGAAAGGGGAGGACACACCCAGCTAGAAGTGGTAGTGTCTAAGAGGCTGGGTAGACCACAGGCAAGGTGAGACCACAAAGGGTCTGCAGTGCTAGGATGTGGAGGTGAAGCTAACATATGCCCACATCCTGGTGTTTTCCCCTCAATGGCTCACCAGTCTTTCTGAAGATCTGCAACTTAGCATCTGGGAGCCAGTGCAACAGAGCAGAGGAAAATATGCGTGATTGTAGAAATTAACTTGGAAATTGGGAGACTTTTCATCAAATTCTGCAATATCATTGCAGAATTAAAATGGAAGAGTAGTTAGCTTCTCTTGAATTGGTGGAAGAATTCCAAGACACCATCCTCCCTCCCACATACACGCTATCACTGCCACAAAACTGCAGGCCTTAAGCCAACAAAGGTGGCCCTTTGCAAGGGTTTCAACACATGGGGACAAAATCACACACAACGGGCCTTTACAGTCCAAGACTGTAGGAGTGGACTCCGAGGGACCTATGTGAATACTTGAGCACAAAGAAAAAAAAAAGGAAAGGAATGTGTTAGATAAAAGAGATCATTGCATAATGAGTGCATGCTCTGTCAGGCATCATTCTAAGCACTTTATGTGAATTAATTTGTTGAATCCTCACAACAATCCTTCAATGAAGGTGCTACTAGCATCATTTCCATTTTACAGGAGCCAGAACTCAAGCATAGAGGGATTAAGTAACTCATTTAAGTCATTCAGGCATGAAGAGGTGTCATCTGGATTCAAACCGGAACAGTCTGATTGTTAGCCATTATATTACACTGCTATGCTGATTTTACCTGGGGAAATTGAAGAATATTTTCATTTCCAATTTCTTCAAGTTCTCAAGAATAATAATAATAAAAAATTTTAGAGTGTATGAAGTAAATCAGCAGGAAAATATGATAGAAGAACCCAACATAGACGAGAAAGGAAACTAAAAGGGAAAAAATGTCACTTCAGAATTAAAACAGAATTAACAGTAGCAAGGAAAGAAATGATCACTACAGAAAATCAAATCATTGACATAGAGCCGAGGCTTGAAAAAGTCGTGGAAAATGCAGAGGGGTAGCAAGATAGTGGATCAAAAGATGATGATATGAAGATGGGAAGAAAACAGATTATACAAGAATAAATGAAAGCAAGTTAATTAAGCAACCAACTCACTGAGTACAACTTCAAGGAAAATATGTGGGAAAACAAAATAGACAACTTAAAGGTAGAAAAAAATGTAAGCTTATATCATGAAGAAAAGTGAAATGAAGAAACTGTACAAGAGCTGAAGATGCCATTGACAGCAATAAAACAAACAATCCACTACTCAGATTGATCAGGCAGAGCGACACATTCAAGTAATCACGGGGAAAAAGGAGACAGAAGCATTTAAAGTGTATAAGAGGCTAAGTATGGGGAAATTAGGTAAAGTACATGATTTTCTATGAAAATATAATTTACATTTATAAATTTCAATAAAGAAAATAAAAAAATTAAAATTATACATGTCAAAAAACATGTAAACATGTAAAAAAATGGAGAAAGTTGTCAAAACGTTATCCCTTTTAAAATAAACAAACAAATTATATCCTGGTAGTTTCAGTAGAAGAAAAATTCTGTGAGGTTTTTTAAAAAATTATTTTATTGAGGTCATATTGGTTTATAACATTGTGTAAATTTCAGGTGTACATTATCATCTTTCAGCTTCTGTATAGACTGCATCGTGTCCACCACCAATAGTCTAGTTTTTAACCATCACCATCCATATGTGCCGCTTTAGCCCCTTTGCCCCCTCTCCACCTCCTTCCCCTCTGGTAACCACCAATGTGTTCTCCCTGTCTATGTGTCTGTCTGCTTGTTTCTCTTCCACATATGAGTGGAATCATATGGTGTCTTTCTCTGTCTGCCTTATGTCACTTAGCATAACACCCTCAGAAAGTGCCTATGCATCCTGTGCAGAAGAAATCCAAATTATGTAAATATTCACTTTAAGAAAGCAAAGCATATCTCCTCACTTCTTAAGTGTGGACTGTGCTTGTGACTTCTTCCAGAGCACAGTATGGAAAGGGAGAAAAAAAGAGTGACTTTACAGTGGAGAAACCTGACAAACACTTCCTCATGCCGGGTGATCAGTGCGAATATCGGCAGTGATAAATCATGCTCATAGTATGCACCCTTGAGATAATGTGATGAGAAGGGCAGTTCACCTATATGGTCTTCCTCTCAAAAACACATTACCTCATTCTAATCATAAGAAAAACATCAGACAAATTCCAATTAATAAACATTCTACAAAATACCTTACAGGTACTCTCCAAAATTGTCAAGGTCATCAAAAACAAAGAAAGTTTGAGAAACCATCATAGGCAAAAGGAACCCAAGGAGACATGACAATAAAATATACTATGGTATCCTGAATGAGATTCTGGAACAGAAAAAAGACATTAGGTAAAAATTAAGAAGTCTGAATAAAGTACAGACTTTAGTTAATAATAATACATCAATGTAGGTTTATTAATTGTGACAAATGTACTATACTAATATAAGATATTAATAATAGGGGAAAGTGGGTATGAGGTACATAGGAACTCAATAATTCTGTTAAGTCTGAAACTGTTCTAAAATAATAAATTTATTAAGAAAAAAAGAAAATGACTACCTAAAATACTTCAAATCATAGATTGAGATGGAAAGCTTAAAACTTCCTTTCTTTACAAAGCTAGCATGGCAAAAATAACACACAGACACACACAATCAAAAACTATAAATTAGGGGGCCGGCCCCGTGGCATAGTGGTTGGGTTTGGTGCACTCTGACAGCCTGGGTTCGCGGGTTTGTATCCTGAGTGCGAACTTATACCACTTGTCAGCCATGCTGTGGCAGCAACCCACATACAAAATAGAGGAAGACTGGTGCAGATGTTAGCTCAGGGCTAATCTTCCTCAAGGCGGAAAAAAAAAAGAGGAAGATTGGCAATGGATGTTAGTTCAGGGTGAGTCTTCCTCACCAAAAAACCTCCCAAAATTACAAATTAAGCTCAATTATATATGCTACTATAAAATTCTAGCTAAAATATAAGCAAAATAAATCATGTGTTTTCATTAAAACAGCCTATTAAGAAGAGATCATTCCAAGAATGTAAGGGTAATAAAATATCATTAAATAATAATTATAATGAACTTACATAAACTTATTCAATTCTCATCAAAACATCTTGAGTTAGGCTCTGTTATTAACCCCATTTTACAGGTGAAATACTGAGGCCATGGAGAGCTCAGTAACTTGCCTAAGAACACATAGCTGTAAACAGAGCAGGTAGGATCCAAGAGTCTGACTCCAGCATTAAAATACATTTGATGAAACTCCATCTTATTTCCATAAAACTCCATTTTATATCCATAAAAATAATAAAAAATAGGAATAGGATAGCTTACTACAATAAAAGTACAAGTCCCACCAACAACCAGCAGCATATCTAATGGTGTAATGTGAGAAGCGTTCCCAGTCAATTCAGATATGGCAGGAGTGCCCACTCTCACCATTCCTATTTAACATTGTTTTGAAAATGCCAGTGAATAAAATTGCCCAAGAAAATGAAACGTATGTTACAAATGGCAAAAATAATCACCTACTTTTTCCATTATTTGTACATAATGTGTGTATGTGTTTGTTTATTTTTTTTTGTCTAAAGCCAAGAGCAAATACAGGTGAAATGATAGGGAAAAGGACTCAGTTATGGAAACAATAAAAAGTACTTTAAGAAACTTGTGTGGGACTTAACTGAAGATAACTATAAAATTCCACCTTGGGACAGAGAAAAAGACTTGAACACATGGGGAGGCATTCCTGTTCTTGGCTGGGAGAAGGCAATATAGTAAATGTGGCAATCCCACTTAATTTAATCTGCTGTATCATTATGATATTGACCAAAATTCCAAAGTAGAGTTTTGTGAATGGGGGAGGAGAAAGTCTCTACTAAATGCTCCCAGAGTTAAACCAAAGGTGAGAATTTGTCTGTTGACTCCTGGAGCTTAACAGGGGTATAACTAGACCACGGAAAACAGTGCTGGCCACTCCCACTGCGTTTACCCCCTTGCAGAAGCCAAGAAATGGGGCACCCACGTGCCTTGAGGACAGTGATCACATATTATACCTCTGGGATTTCTCTACATAGATAGTCAATCAATCCTTCCAGCTGTTGTCAAACTAATATATCTGGACTCAACAACCTCAGGGATAACCCCAGAGCTCCCATGTATCCCTGGCAAATTTTGTGCAAGTGTAGATTACAGTATCAAGATGAAGTTTAACTACTTCTATAATTTAGCTCAGGCTACTTTTCAAGTCTTATCTCCTCCCAGCCCCCAAACATATTAATCTGCTATGTTCTTCTGTTAAAAATGGCACTGAGGGGCCAGCCTGGTGGCGCAAGTGGTTAAGTGCGTGCCCTCCGCTGCAGCGGCCTGGGGTTCGCCAGTTCGGATCCCGGGCACCGCTTGGCAAGCCATGCTGTGGCGGTGTCCCATGTAAAGTGGAGGAAGATGGGCACGGATGTTAGCCCAGGGCCAGTCTTCCTCAGCAAAAAGAGGAGGATTGGTAGATGTTAGCTCAGGGCTGATCTTCCTCACACACACACACACAAAAAATGGCACTGAAAGCCATCCCAGCTGCCCAAGCAGGGCACTTGAGAGTCATTTCCAACAACTTCTCTCTCGTACTATCCATATCCAGTCAACCACTGCTTCCAACCAATTCTTTCTCTAAATCCACCTCTTTCCATTCCTACTCTCATCAGCTCATCCCAGGGCCCTGCCTGGAAAACTCTTTCCTAATGCTAGCTCTGGCCAATTCCACACATCCTTCAAGTATCAGCTTGAGTAATAGTTCTGAGGGAGTTATTGGTCCCCTCACTTCCCAGGGGAAAAGGTGTCCGTCAGACATCTACAGAGCAACGTCTGCTCTCTCTATATTTCTGCTCCACAGACAAACTGCAATCTTCTCCCTCTTCCAGACTTAAGAAGCATGAGAGAAAAGCACCCTGATTATAAGACTTTCTGTGCTCTCTCATCTCAGGCTTTTGTTCAGTCCGACATGGGCTGGCCTTCATCTTGCATATCTGTAATTTTTTGATTCTCACCCAACAAATGAACTTGAGCATTGCCATCCCAGCGATGGTGAACAACACAGCCCTGCTCAGCTCGCCCAATGCCTCAACAGAAAGGCCTCCCACTGACTCCCAGGACAACTGGAAGGAAACTTTAAAGGAATTTAAGGCAGTGGTAAGTTTAATGAGACTCCAGACCTTTTCTTTGACTCAAATGGTTTGCCCTAAAGGGTTATTTATTAAGCATCTACTATATTCAAGGAATTCGATTACACAAGAACATAGTATGTATCTAAGGAGATTATATCCCTACTTAGTGTCTGTAAATGTAACCAGGGACCATGATAGAATGAAGGAAACAGATTTTATCATTTAGTGGACATAAATTCTTCCTCTACAATGATGAAAATCATCACAAAATAAGTTTCACAGATTTATGTCTGCTTTCTCTTTCTTCCTTCATGTATTTTTCTATTACCTTGCCTATGATGCTTTCTTCTTTATAGGCTTTCTTTCTTTACAGGCTCTCTTATTTTTTAATTGGTCAGTTAATTGTGTAACTGGGGAAATTGTGTTGGGGGAAAGAGTACGTTGAGCATATATTTAGGTTTTCTTGATGAAATTGGTAGATTGGAGGAATTGGAGAGAGATAAAAGGAAAGAAAACTGCCAATTATTTTTTTGCCTCTCAAGTCTTCACAATAAAAATTGTCAACTCTCTAGCCAAAGATAAACAGTAAGATTCTCTTTGTCATCTAGGCTCCTATGTATGACTGGAGTCCTGAAATCCAGGGAATCATCCTCAGTTCCCTCAACTATGGCTCCTTCTTAGCCCCAATCCCTAGTGGCTATGTGGCTGGAGTATTTGGAGCCAAGTACTTGGTTGGTGCTGGTATGTTTATTTCCTCAGTCCTGACCCTCTTCATTCCACTGGCAACTGATGCTGGAGTGACCTTGCTCATTGTGCTTCGGATTGTCCAAGGCATAGCCCAGGTACCAAGAGATTTTCTAGTGTGAGGGGAATACAGGTTCCAAAACGACCCCAGGTAGTCCAGAATGGAACATTTTTTTTCAGGTTATGGTAACCACAAGTCAGTATTCAATTTGGGTCAAATGGGCTCCCCCACTGGAAAGGAGTCAACTCGTCACCATTGCAATGTCAGGTAATTGATACCCAAATCGTCATCTTACGTGTACCACCAAGAGTATTCTGCAATGGCCTGTCAACAGAAGCAAGACCTTACATCCAACTACTCTGTCTGCTTGCTCTAAAGCCCTACCTTCTACTATCTTTCTTGATCATAATTGAATGTTTACTGTGCATCAAGCATTATTGCAAGTGCTTTGTACATATTAATTTCATTTTAGCCTCAGAACAATCTTATAACTCAGCTATATATAATTATTTTCATGTCACACATAGGGAAATTTGAGACAGAAGTAGACTAATTACTGTGCAACTCAGCTTTGTGAAGGAGTTAATCTGTAGGAAGCACACAGAGTCCCAAACCTGACCCTCTCACCCAGGACACCCTCACATTTTCTGTTTAGGATCGGTGGTGGGGTCCTTTGTCATCCTCCTCATCGGTGGTCTCCTCTGCCAGACCATAGGATGGCCTTATATCTTCTATATCTTTGGTGAGTTTGTGCTTTTCAAATCTCAGAATTTTGTTTTACGACAGAGAATGCTGGGCATGATTTCTGTGGTGCAACTCATCTATGGTTAACCAAATCCTAACAGATATGGATATTTATATAACTAAGGTTGATAATGTTCAGAGCCAGTCATGTTGTGAATCTTGCAAAACGACATTTAAGTTTCAGTAGTCTGAGTGTGTAGCTAGGATAACCTGATGACTTTAAAGCTATCACTATATTCCTTCCTGCTTCTAAATTGAACCCACAAGGGACCCCAGAGGGATTTCTTTCATAAGATGTTGAAAACATTATCTTGGTGAGATTATATTTTTAGTTATGCTTATTTTTTAATACATTCTTTTAAATTTCTCCCATTATCACTACAACCAGAAAATTGTGCAAATGTGACCTAGTCATAAGTAAAATACTGATTGGAGGAGAGAATCAACCAGTAGAGGCTGCAGGACAGAGCAGACCAGATAAGGCTCAAGAGTGGACATAACACACAGAAACATGTCACAAGATTCCAAAGACACGTGAACTGTTCTGGAGGCAATATTCTACTACTTCACAATTTTGCCTTCACCTAGCCTTGGTTGGGATCTGCTCAGCTACTTTCAGCTAATGTTTGTGTTTATTTGATTTCTAAAACATTCTCTGAAATCCCATCTGTAAACCACCTGATTCCAGTGGGACCAGTAAGTCCCAGTAAGTGTTTTCATTACAGAATAATACCCTTTAGATCAAGTGTTCCTGTAACATAACACTAGGTCAATATATTCACTAGAAGAAAAAAAATGTATGAAGATTGATTATTACAGTACATCAACCTTCAAAGGCTCTGTCATGGGAACTTCAAAAGGGCAGGTTACAAAAATTATTCAAGCAATGAGAGAGGCTCACCATGCTCATGAATTTGAGAAACAGTAAGCAGTATAAGTAAGATAGGAACTCACTAAATATTTGTTGAACCAATGTTAACATAATCCATTCTCAGTGTGCAACAGTGTTAATTTTCGTATCTATTCCTCCCCACCTGATTTTAAGTTCCTTGGTGGCAAAATTGTGTCTTTAGGTGGCTGGCCCTGTGGCGTAGTGGTTGGGTTAGCGTGCTCTGCTTCAGAGGCCTGGGGTTTGCTGGTTCAGATCCCGGGCACAGACTCAAGCACTGTTCATCAAGCCATGCTGTGGCAGGAATCCCACATATGAAGTAGAGGAAGATGGGCACGGCTGTTAGCTCAGGGCCAATCTTCCTCAGCAAAGAGAGGAGGATTGGCAACAGGTGTTAGCTCAGGGCTAATCTTCCTCATTAAAAAAAAAAAAAGTTGTGTCTTTATATTCTTATATTCTCAAAATTTATCAAACTGCCTGGTGTATGATGGCTGCTCTACATTGGTGAAAGAAGGTGTAAAAAACAAGCTAGCAAGTGAAGAAAACTCTTAAGACTTTCTTAAGATTCTAAAAAGGGAATTTTAAGAAGAATCGTATTTCCACTCAATACTAATAATGTTGCATTGTCCAACACTGTAATAATGTATATATTAGAGAAAATTCCTTTGCTAAGAATTAATTTCATTTCATGTCTAGAAATTGTCTGGGTAATCAGTCGCACATATGTACTGCTGCTAACTCTTAAGTGCCAGAGATAGATATGGAAAGGTTTAATGATGAAAGGAACTTTGCAGAAGCATGACTAGCAGAAAGGATGCCAACTGGTACTTCAACAGCGAGGGCGTTTTCAAGCACGTGGAACAAACACACTAATGACTTTTAACAATGAGCTATAGCCTTAATAATGGTGCATTTCAAAGCCTCCCAAAACTCAGTTGTTTAAAACAACAATTTATTCTCTTAATTCTGTGGGACAGCTGGGCAGCTCTGCTCTCTGTGTCTCTTATCTGCCTTGGACAGTGGGTTAGCTGGAGCAAGTTCTTCCCATGCCAATGGCTGAGACCCAAGAGGACAAGTAAAAAAATGCAGTGTGGAGCCGGCCTGGTGGACTCATGGTTAAGTTTGCATGCTCTGCTTTGGTGGCCTGGGGTTCGCAAGTTTGAATTCCAGATGCAGACCTATGCACCACTCATCAAGCCATGCTGTGGCGGCATCCCACATACAAAATAGAGGAAGATGGGCACAGATGTTAGCTCAGAGCCAAACTTCCTCACCAAAAAAACACAAAAAGCAAAAAAAAACGCAGTGCTGCATAAGGCCTAGACTTTGGCAAAAGCAAGTTACACGGCCAAAGCCAAAGTCAAGTGGCGGGGAAGTACCCTCCACCTATGATAGGGCCACACAAGGGTATAGATGCAGGGATGAGTGGAGTATTGGGGACAGTCATTCTGTCAACCCTAGGAATCATCTCAGGGCAGAGTCAAACTGAAAGAACTCCATTCCTGTGCTAACTAGATCCTCTTCCTAGGTGGAATTGGCTGTGCCTGTTCTTTTCTCTGGTTTCCTCTTGTTTATGATGACCCCGTGAATCATCCGTTTATCAGCACTGGTGAGAGGGACTACATCGTGTGTTCACTGGCTCAACAGGTGCATTGAGGAACTCCTCTGCCATTTCCCTACTTCTGTCTGTATGTCTCAGAGGTGAAGAGTGCAGTAGAGAAAAGCCCTTGTCTTCTGATGGAGGGGATATTGATATGTGCTTTCTTCCAGGACTGTTCGGCAGACTGGTCTCTTCCCGTTATGGCTATGATCAAATCTCTACCACTTTGGGGCATTTTAGTCTCTTATTTCAGTGAATTCTGGCTTTTTCATATCTTGATGGCGTATATACCAACATACATCAACACTGTACTTCAAGCTAACCTCAGAGATGTAAGTACAGAGAGAGCTCAATCTGTTCTTTCATTTAAATGCTCCATCATATAATCATCTGGTCACAAAATCAGAGGATTAAGTTCAAGACCTTCATGAAGGAAATGCAACACGTTTCACTTGAATTTTGATTCATCTCAGTGTGGCCTACTGCTTATTGGGGCAGACTGCTACGGTTCTCGGTCAGCTTGACATTCACAGAATGTCATATTTTTTAAGGAATCAATGTAAAAATTTTATGTTCAGTCCAATCAATGTTTATAAACAAGACACTCTGCAGCATAAACAATAAAGCATTAACAAAACAAATTCTGCCTTTGAGAAGGCTGTGACAGAGAAGCATAAACAATGTATGCTGAAAATAAGACATTATTAATAGGATATAAAGTCCCAAATAAGACATATCAAAAACTTGTGGGTAATGTTCTTTTAAATAAGCATTTTATTCAAGTATGTCATATATAGAGAAAAGTGCACACATGTGTACAGCTCTTTGATTTTTCACAAAATGAACAGATGCTCTGATCGGCTGACAGGAGCCTTTCGATTCCTACAGGATGGATGTCTTAAAAGTGGCAAAGAGTGTATCAGATTTCAAAGTCTGCTAGTGACAGTTCACAAGGTCGTTGAAATACCATTACATTTTTGCCCTTTGTACTAAAAAAGCAGTGTTCTCGTGTTGACTGGGCTTCTCTGGTGAAAACATGCTAACTGGCCAACAGAGATCTGACCTTCTTAGCAGAGGTCAGAGTATGGGGTGCATGCATGCAAACAGGCTAGAGGTACTGAGATCAGAAAGCCCAAGGATAGAGTGGCTATGGGTCTTCCCAAAGGAGAAGAAGAGCCAGAAGCAGACAATGAAACCAGAACCTCAGGCCAGGGAATCAGGGTACAGGACATCCAGAGAAGTAGGACTCCAGTGCTGAGAGATAGACAGCCTGAGGCTGGCTGTTGGGAGTGATGTCACTGATGTGAGGCCAGGTGGGCTCTCCACCCTCGGAGGCCAAGGAGGAGGATGGGAGAATGATTGGAAAGAAAAGTTGAGACCAGAGAGTAGACTTTCCCAGCTTGGGAAGTCAAGAGACCTAGACTCCCATTGCTCTCAGAGTATTTTCTCACTAAGTCACATAACCTTGATGGCCTTGGTTTTCTCATCCATAAAATGAACAGCTTGGACCAGGTGACAGTTAAATCTTTTCCATTGTTTGGATTACATGCAACAAAGGATGGTCTCCTTTTCCTTGCATTTTCTTTAATAGCATTTTAATTTAGAGGTTGAATTGATAATACAAGGGTTCAACATTTTAAAAACTATATAAAACTATATAAAAAAGTGAAGAGTGAAAAATCTTACTCCCATTCCTGTCCCCAGTCTACCCTGTTCTCCCTGCCCTCTCCATATACCTAATACTCTTTTTTATTAATTTCTTGTGTATTTCTTCCATTGTTTCTTTATGACAATGCAAGCATACACAAATGTATATTCTTATTTACCCCAACTTTTTTTTCCCCCCAGAACGTATGCTGTTTATGCTGCTATTCTTTATATACTATACCATGGGATCTCTTCATATTAGTACATGAGAACCTTACTGGGTGACATTTGGGTTGTTTCCAATCTTTGATCAGTGCTGCAGTGAAAACCTTGTTCATTTGTCATACATTTGTGCAACTATTTCTGCAGGGTGAATTTCTGCATATCTGAGTCAAAGGTAAATTCAGTATAAACTTATATATTTATTGTCAAATTGCCCTCCATAGGGCACTAATAATATTTGCAAGTACCTGATTCCTCACAGCATCATTACAAATCATGTCAAAACCTTTTGGATTTTTGCTGATTTGATCCATGAAAAACGGTATTTCACAGTAGTTTTATAATTATGAGTTGGGGTACCTTTTAATATGTCTAGGAATCACTTTTTTTTCCTTTTCTATAAATTGTTAATACCCTTTGCCTATTTTTCTACTGGATTTGCTCTCTTTAATATCTATTTCCAGGTGATCTTTATATATGAAGAGAGCATTAGTCCGTTTTTTTTTTTTTTGCAAATTGAACTACATGCATATTTTTCCCCAGGCACTAAAATTATATTGGCTCATTCAACATAGACTTTGTATTAAAAGTGATGTGTATATTAAAAAATGCCATAGGGGCCGGGCCAGTGGTGTAGTAGTTAAGTTCCTGTGCTCCCCTTCAGTGGCCTAGGTTTCGCAGGTTCAGATCCCTGGGCGCAGACGGATGCACCGCTTGTCAAGCCATGCTGTGGCGGCATCCCACATAAAGTAGAGGAAGATGGGCACAGATGTTAGTCCAGGGCCAATCTTCCTCAGCAAAAAGAAGAGGATTGGTATCGGATGTTAGCTCAGAGCTTATCTTCCTTACACAGACACACACACAAAAATGCCATAGATGTAGACAATCTATCCAGGGGTCACTCACTATCATGGTGATGTGGTAAAGCACATATCTCATCTCATCTCTGGTCCTCAGAGTGGGATCCTGTCAGCCCTGCCATTTGTTGTTGGCTCTATGTGCATTATCCTTGGAGGTCTATTGGCAGATTTTCTCCTCTCCAGAAAAATCCTCCGACTCATCACGATCAGGAAACTCTTCACTGCAGTGGGTAAGAACCAAGGTGGTTACACTGGTACATGGGGAAGCTCAGGTCAGCCTCCTATTCACTCTGTTTGTCCTTCTGCTCCAGGGGTTATCTTCTCATCTTTGCTCTGCGTGTCTCTGCCCTCGGTCAGTTCCAGCCACATCACCACCATGGCCTTCTTGGTACTGTCTTCTGCCTTCAGCAGCCTCTGTGAAGCAGGATCACTTGTTAACATCTTGGATATTGCTCCTCGGTAGGATCCCTTTGCCTCATCCTTACAGAAGCTCAGTTCAGGTCCAGCAGCCCTAGACCTATGCTGACGCATAGGTAAAATGTGAGTGACACGTGCAAGAGGTCACAGGAAATGTCAGCACCAGCCCTGGATCCAAATAATTACTGGAAGGGATGCAAAGCTGGTCAATCATTGTGAACTTAGTTTTTCCAGGTGAAAACAGGAGTAGTCAGTGGCCACACTCACAGCTCAACTAGGGGAGACCCACACCAATCTCTTTCCGTTGGGGAATGCAGCAGTTACAGGGGGCTGGATCACTGAAAGGACTCATGAAACTACAGGCCATGCTCATGTAAAGCTTTAATAAAGGTAATGGACATAGAAGAGCAGGGGAAACATTTACCTCTGATACAGGCAAATATCAGAGATGACCGCAACTCCAAACTGAGCTCTCAGGGTCCTGTCATAATCAACACACTTCATCTTCAGATAATGAATCACCAATATACATGGGAGGTACCTTGGTCTCAGGGAAGCCAATGTCTCATTCAGTGAGGGGTCTTTTATACCCCAAGACAAGGCTGCAACATCAGGCTCCATAGCAGAAACCAAGAGAACATAAACTAGGTGCAAACCATCAATCTGTATATTTTGTATAAACAATATTGACAAGTTACTACAGGTTATCCCTTGGAAGTCTCAGACTTAGCATGGGATTATACTAATCACTAGTCAGTACATTTCACTCAGGTCTGACTAAGGGTCAGCACAACTCCAGGCATCCTCAGAGATAAGCACTGAGTTGCAACAGATCAGCTGAGATGAACCTTTTGCGTACTTTGGAATATTTTTCTTTCTTTCTCTCTTTCAGGTATGTTGGCTTTCTCAGGGGACTATCGCAGGTCTTTTCTCTTATATCAGGAGCCATCTCTCCCACTGTTACTGGAATTTTCCTCAGTCAGGTAAGGTAAAATGTTGTGAAAATATTGTTATGTTGTTATGAATGTTATGAAAATATTCATAAGAGAAACCTATAGAGGTCACACAGTAGAAGTCAGACTAAGGGTATTTTTGTTCCCTCCTCAATGTGGCTGAATTTGAAGCTCAAGGGTCCCGAGCACCCCACATGCTGTCATTTTCACCCTAGGCTCAGCTCACACAGGGAAATTACCGCATGTTTGGGGTATGGAGTGAGGGAGAATGCTCAATTTTATGAGTCTATGTTTTATGAGTTCTTAGAAGATGAATTTCTCATGCTAATCATCAAATTTTCTATCAATATTCATGGCATTTTTTGTAAGATATAGAGTGGCCAACCTTTCTGGTTTACCTGGGACTGAGGGGTTTCCTGGGATGTGGGAATTTCAATGCCAAAACCTTGAAAGTTCCAGACAATCTAGAAAGAGTTGGTTGCCCTATGTAGGAACCCAACAAATATTTACAGAATGAATGAGAGAGGTGTTGAGTGAATGACAGAGTGAAGGAGCAATTTGCACCTTACATCAGTGGTTAATGCAGAAATTCCTTTGACCAGTATTGCTTGCATGGTGTTTTTACATTTGTGAGCCTTCCATCCTGAGAGATGCATTTAAAGTTGTCAGAATAAACAAATTCATCTGATAACTTGAGCATTTCCTAAGAATCTCATTGATATAGACTTTATGTGAAGAAAGATGTATATGACATTCATATGAATATCATTCTTTAAGTTCCTGTGATTTTCCACCAGTAAGTCAGGAAAATGAATGGAAGATAACAAAGAAAGGGTATTCTTTCTGACATCAAGTCCTTTCTCTTTTGAAGTTTCAATTCCCTTCCAGTCACTGACTAACACACTGTCAAGAAATGATTGTTTAAAATGGAAATTCTCAAATTGACCTTGTTTCCCTTGTCATTCATTCATTCATTCGTTCGTTCCTCCGTTCATTCATTAAACAAAATGTACTGAACATTAGCATGTGTCATGCACTGTTTAAGTGAATAAAACAAATCAAAATCTCTGCCCTTGTGAAACCTATATTGTAGGAAAGAAACTGATAGAATGCTAATGAAATAAGTAAAATATACAGTATATTGAATGGTGGTAAGTGCTAAGAGAAGAATAAAGCAGGAGAGGAGAATAGAGCACATAAGAAGGTGTGGGATTTCAATCTTAAATAGGGTAGTCAATGAAGGACTCATGGGAAAAGTAACATTTAAGCAAGGACTGGAAGCAAGTAAGGGAGTGAGACAAATGGCTATCTGGGGGGAGGAACATTCTAGCAGAAGGAAAGGCCAGTGCACCTGAAATATACCTACATATTCCCGGAACAATCAGGAAGCCCACAGAGGCTGGAGCAGAGTTGGGGGTGGGGGCAGTAGGACTTGGTGCCAGAGCCTTTCTGAACCAGGAAGGATAAGAACTTGAAGACCATTAATAACTTGTAGTTTCCTGCCTCCAGGACTCAGAGTTTGGTTGGAGAAATGTCTTCTTGCTTTCAGCTGCTATTAACATATCAGGCCTGGTCTTCTACCTCATCTTCGGCCAAGCAGAGGTCCAGGACTGGGCTAAAGAACAGACATTCACCCAATTCTGAGCAAATTGAGTGATGCCTTAGATCTTGATGCTTAGTTGTTCATTGTTTGCCCTCATGGACATACCCCTTTTGTGCCTGCCTGACTAGCCTTGCTGCTTGAATAGCCATTCAATTTGAATTGATTTTGTTTCCAATATTTCTTCAGAGGTCCTGGCTGTCTAATTCTGAAGCTTCTGTCTGGAGATTTTACAGGCGGTGGCGGGCTAGGGGGCTAGTTATTTAACTAGGAGCTCCTGAAAGCACAGGTGTATCTGAATGTATATGTGTTCTCCACTCTTTCCACTGTTATTGTGACAAAGTAAGAAACACACATTTGGTCTTTGCCCCCAGTTTCTGGCACGGAGCTCATAAAACCCTTGTAATTTCCTGAGTGATAGGAATGATAGGAGTATCTTTTGTTATAATATTTGGTCTTAGTTCCTGGTTCCTGATTCTAAGATCCTTGGAATCTCTGAAGTGATGAGAGTGTCTTTTTGGTATACCAATGAGGTGACTGGTGACTGGGGGACTGAGATAGCTTCAGGATGAGGGGCTGGTCACCAGAAGTACCAACGCATGCTGAGAAGGTTGGAACTTTCAGCTCCACCATGCCACTTTCAGGGAGGGCAGAAGGACTAGAGATTGAGTAACTCATCAATGGCCAGAGATTTAATCAACCATGCCTTCACAATAAAACCTCTATAAAAACCTAAACAATGGGGTTCAGAGAGCTTCCACGTTGATGAACGCATGGAAGTGCTGGGAGAGTGGCACACATGGAGAGGGCATGGAAGCTCTGCCTCCCTTCCCACATGCTTACCCTATGTATCTTTTCCATTTGGCTGTTCCTGAGTTGTAGCCTTCATAATAAACCAGTAATAGTAAGTAAACTGTTTCCCTGAGTTCTGTGAGTCATTCCAACAAATTATCAAACCTGGGGAGGGGGTCATAGGAACCCCCAACTTTGTAGTTAAGTCAAACAGAAGTTTGGGTATCTTGGGCACCCACTACTTTGATTGATGTCTGAAGGTGAGGAAGTGTTGTGGGACTGAGCCTTTAACCTATAGGGTCTGCGCTAACTCTGGGTATTTAGTGTCAGAATTGAGTAAAATTGTAGGACACGCAGTTGGTGTTCACAGAGAATTGGAGAACTACTTGGTGTGGAAAACCCACACATTTGATGTCAGAAGTGTTGTGAGTGTAGAAACAATTTTCCTTTAGTTATCCTGGCAAAAGCATCAGGGGCTGGAGGACAATTTCTCACCAAAGCAAAAGAGGAAGCCAGAACCATGGGAGTGAGAACTGAGAATTACGAGAGGGATTGCGTCCAAACATCAAAAAGATGAACCCTGAGAACTATCATGAAAAGAAAGCCCTAAACAATGGAAGCCATAGTGTAAGTCCTGGGCAGGAGGCCAGAGCATCTGAAGTCACCCTCACATCAAGTGAAGAGTGATACAGGACCATTCTGAAGCTTGGCACAGGCAAGACGCCCAGGTCAAAAATGCCAAGGAGGAAAGGACAATAAAGACTGAATCCATTGTAACAAGAGTAATGAACTTGTTACTCATTAGTGCCTGGAACTAATGAGAGTGGGATAGTAAACTACAACTATTTCAGACATCTTGCTTTTCTTGCTTTCAGAACCACCTCTATAATACAGTAGTGCTCAGGCGCTCTTCAGAATCAACTCTTTCACAACTACCTTCTTTCTGGCCATCTTGAGCTCTGCCCCACATCTGGTTTGTGGATCCATGCAGACCCCTTCTATCTTAGTGAACAGACAATGTTCAGTTTTTCCCCTACCCCCTCAAACATTTGTTCATGCTGCCACTCCTGTCTTGGATGCCCTTCCTTTGCTTCTCTGACTCTTGGAATCCTACCCACCTTCAGTAAGCCTCATTTAATATTCATCTCATTAACCTAATGTATTTTTCAAAAATGTGTGTAAGACCTACGCTGGCTTGACCCCATTCCAAATGTCTGGAGAGTGTATAGTGTGTCTGCTTTTCATTAAGCCCTCAAATGGGCAGTATTAGGATCATGAAAGAAAGCAAAAGCATTAGGCACTAAAGGAATATTAATGAACATATAACATGGGGACTGGTAGAAACCAAAATCAGACACAGCTTCAGGGAGCTTACCATATCAGGAGGGCAGATGACTTTTAATCAAAGTATCACACAGATGAATGCGCAATGAAAACTATGGAAGATAAAATAACGAGGGGCATACTTGGCTATAAGCCTGAATGATAAGAGCATATGCCTGAGTCTGAGAGTGAGGGAGGACCACCACTACATAGTTTCAATTGAGCTGGGATCTGAAGGACAATAGTTAACTGATGCAGGAGGTATATGGGGAGAACATTCTAGGAAGAGGACACAGGAAAAGCAAAAGTTTGCTGGCAGGAGGGAGTAATCAAGTATGGCCAGAGTATAGAGAATAAGCGAAGCATGATTTGTGAGGAGGCTGTAAAAGTATGTAGAGGAAGAATACACTGTGGTCCAGGGAAGTGCATTGGTCTTTTTCCTGAAATCAATAAGAAGTATATTAGTGGGAGGCGATGTAATCAAGGTTCTATTTTTCAAAGGTTTCTGCATGAGGGAATAGGTTGAAGTAGAAATTCACTGTGTAGTCCAGGAGAGAGTCATGGCCCCTGGCAGGAGAAAGCGAATGTGGTGAAAGGTGAACAGACTATTTGATTTAGGAGATAAACCTGATAAGACTTGGAGACTAAATGAGAGAGTGGAAGGTGTCTGGAGTGACTCCTAGGTTTTGGTTTGCTTCTAGATGATGGGGATGCCTTTCATTAAGATAGAGATCATAAGTGAAGATGACAAGAAAGAAAATGGATACACAGCTCTGAATTTCACACGGGAGATCTGGGCTCCAGTTATAGATTTAGGAAGCACCTAGATATAGGTGGTGATTAAAATTCTTAACATGGCTGAGACTGCCCAGGGTGACAAGATGGTATAAGAAGGGAAAGCCTGGGAACAAGCCTTGAAGAACCCCAACATTTAATGGCCAGCTAGGGGCCGATTAGTCTCAAAAAAAAAAAAAAAAAAAAAAAAGAGAGAAGAAAGAAACAACTAAAAAGATAGAAAGAAAACCAAGAGAATATGGTGCTAAGAAAGGAAAGGAAAGAGAGAATATGTTTCAAGAAGAAGTGAACAGTGTCCCATGTCAACTTTGCACAGATCAGGTAAGATGAGGAGTGAGCAGAAAGTAGAAAAAAGAGATGACTGCTGAGAAGTTTGGCTGCAAAGAGGAGGAAAGAGACAAGAGAGTAGCTGCAGAAGGATTTGGGATCAAGAAAGGAGTTTAAAATAAGCATGTTCAAAACCTGTGAGAAGAATCTAGTTGAGAGAAAAAAATTGAGTATGCTAAGGAACACACATTAATGGAAATTCTTGAGAAGGCTGAGGTAAGGGAGGAATTTCATGACCTAAAGCATAGTTGGGAGGAAGATGAGAGATGGAGTGAGGGCAGCTCCTGCCTTTTCACCAGACGGCTCATGATTATGTCCATGTCCGCTAGTGAGAGGTCCAGGGAGGGTCTGCTGTGTGGTTTTATTTTGTTTATCTTGCCTCCTACTTGCAAGAGGGGTGGGCAGCACGACTGGCAGTTTGTAGGATAAGAGAAAGGTCTGAAGTGCTCTTGTTGACAAGAGGGGAGCGACCTGGCAAGACACCTGCAGGTTGCCAAGCAGGGGTGATCATCTCCCGTACAGTAACTCCAGTAACTCACATTGTCCCACGACTGCTTCATTTATGACTGTTTCCTCTACCTATTCTGATTGTAAACTTCTAAAGTTCAGGAACCATGACATTCGTCATTTTATAATATCCTTAATATAAGAACAGTGTCTTGTACACAGTAAGTGTCAATAGATTCTTGTGTGTGTATGTGTATGAATGCTTGTTGAATCACAGTATGAATCAATGAACAGAATGGCTCTGGGGTGGTGTGGGAGACCAGTTAGAGAAGAAATGGGTGAGACGCAAAGGACCCTATATTGACCCAATTTTTCTTTAATTCCCTTTGTTTTTCAGAACATAAAATCATCTAAACCTATGAATTCCTTTCCTTATCTCATCTGGTATTAAGATATTGAAAGACTAGGTCTGCTCCATTCCATTTCTGTAACAATTGCAGAGCCAACCCCAGACTCTTAACAGTGATGATTAAGGTATTTGCCAGTTGGGGCACAGTGTCTCTTGCTTATTTCTGAGCCACCCATATCTGCATTTATTCATCTCCTTTCCTTCTCTGGACCCTTTTGCTTCTTCCTAATCTGTCACTTTTAGTTGCATCTGAAAACAAGTTTGATGTCTCCCTGGGCCTGATTAGTAGTTCCCCCAAAATGGGCTGTCCTTAAAGTACAGGCATGCACCACATAATGACATTTTGGTCAACAACAGATCACATACATGAGGGTGACCCCATAAGATTATAATAGAGCTGAAAAATTCCTACTGCCTAGTGATGTCGTAGCCATTGTAAAGTCATGGTGCAAGGCATTACTCACGTGTTTGTGATGATGCTGGTGTAAACAAACCACCTGTGATGCCAGTAGTATAAAAGTATAGCACATACAATTATGTACAGTACATAATACTTAATATGATAATAAATGACTATGTTATTGGTTTATGTATTTACTATACTATACTTTTTACTGTTATTTTAGAGTGTACTCTTTGTACTTACTAAAAAAAGTTGACTGTAAAACAACATGCTGTGTTAAGCCAGCGGTAAGCCTCATATATCTTGTGTTTACCACATCTCTTAATTGCATCATTTTCTCTTAAACTTGATTTACTCTCATGTTGTTTTCTTCATCATGGCCCCTAAGCATACAAAATCCACTGCTAATGTTGCCAGTAAGAGGCCACGTAGAGTGATTGACCTGGAAACAAAATTAAAAGTGATTAAGGACTATGAAGGTGGAAAATCAGTGGTGGTTATTGCTCGTCAGTCAGGCATGTCCCATTCCACCACAGCTGTGATCTTGAAGAACAAGAACAAAGTGATAGAAGCTGTTAAAGGATCTGCTTCGTGGAAGGTAATGAGACTAACAAAAATTCAAGAAGGACCTATATCAGACATGGAGAGACTTCTAATGACCTGGATTGAAGACTAGACACAGAAATGTATCCTTCTCAGTACCATGACAGTCATGGCCAAAACA